GCGTGAGCTCCGTCGAGGGGCGGTTAGGCCGGAAGTAATGATAAAGCGTAAAGTTGGACTTCCCACCAGCCCCCACCACCTCCAAGGTGGAGGAGGGCGCGATGGCGAGAAGCGAATCCTCGAAGGTGATCGCCAGACCTAACAAACGCAAGTCATCGGAGGTGAGCAGGCGCAAACGAAGCATCGGAGCGATGGTGTGGGTGAGCGTGCCGTAGTATTGCATCGCCATGGGGTCCGTCACGTCATGAGGGGTAAACCCATAGGGCATTGGATCATGGGGGAGAAAATACACCATCCCGGGCAAAACCCGAAGTCGCTGAGGCTCACTGAGAACAGGGTGGGCCTTGGCAGCCAAGTGGGGCACCTGCACCACCGATGCGAGGGTGAGCACTTGCTGATAATGCGGGGCAAGATGCATGTGAAGGGCGGGGGTCTCGTGGTTGAGCAGCTCCCACGGCAGTTTGTTGTAGGACACTAAAGAAGGGTACTTGAGACTGCTGCGAAACCGCCGAGACCGCAGAACTAGGCTGAGTGTGTACATCACAAGGGGTTGGATGGTTTAAAATCGCCTTTCTGTGGCTTCACGCTTTGCGGTTATATGTCGTTGCGAAAGCAGCGGCTAACATCTAAATCCATTGGTCAAATAGTCAGTTTAAAAAAAAATGTCGGGTAGTAAAACTGAATATGCTGTAAAATACACCGTCTCATGTAAATGAAAATTTTCGCCCCATACAGTATAAGATATTGTCAATTTTGTATACCAATTTCGCTTGTACGTATATATGAATACAATATTTTCCCCCTATTAGTAATCAAGACAATAAATAAGCTCGGTCTAAACAACGGCATATACAATATATTTTTCATGTGATATTTATTTAGGACACAATAGGGAAAAGTAACTGAAAGAGTATCGCCTTTCACTGTTTAATTACAAAAGGGGAGAAATCTACGAATCAATCGTCTTTTTACTATTACATGAAAAAAAAAGCATACCAAGAAATAGCTATGGTACGAAGTTAAAGAAAATGAGGCATAAATTTCGTATTAGATGTAAACATATATGCTTATTTGCCTTCGTGCATATGCTCACTTTTTTTCACAAAAAAAATTAAATCCACCAACATCGCATTAAAGAACTATTATATGAAATACTTTATTCAGTTTATAAAAGGTTAAAATAAGGTTGAAAAATTAGGCGATCAAGAAGTCATAAGAAACACAATTCTAAAACAGAAAAACCGCACTCAGTGACTTTAGTAAAAAAGTTTGCCTGTGGGTTAACAATATCTGGAACCCGAGAAGGAAAATATGGTACACATTAAAAATGGTGTCCCGTAATCGAAAAGGAACTCATAATTTCAAAAGATTGACAACAATGAACCCAATAAAGTAAAGAAAAAATGTAAAAATAATTTCGTATTGGAAAAGTAAAAGCACAATAAAAGTTTATAAATGAATGGTTGTTGACCTTTATATAGTGTATTGTGATTCCTTTCTACTTTCCTCTCTATTCCTAGAATGTGTTTATTCCTTCCTTCTGTATATAAATACCTGTGCGGGAGTGTGTCGTACAATGAATAAGTTTACCACTTATTAACTATTAAAGTCCAACAGATACACTATGATTGATCTCTTGAATGATGGGTGGCAACTTTGAGCAAGTATGGTTTGGTATATAGCATACCAGAGTGAATTTCTTACCCCTTTCACTTCTCTAGGCTATATTCACAGCCACTTGATAAAGAGTCACGATGCTCGGTCGAGGGTAAGGTGGTGTTGAAGGTACTACACTTATTCTCTGGTGATTTATTTCTAACTGGTACAATCAGCTTAATGGGTCTACCAGGTAAACTACCAAGCTCGCTCATCACGGACGAATGGCTAACGGCAAAATCCTTCGCAAATTTAACATTTTCAAAGCATGTGAAAAACACCAAACAAAGGGTGTCTTTGGGCGCGAGCATAGCAGGTGAGATGCGATCCGATATCGGAGTTGGGCTATCGCATTCCGCGCTCGACGCGCTGGTCTCCGAGGGGATGACCTCAACCTCACTCAAGGTTGGGGTACTCTCCGCGGAGGAGGACTTGGCGTACAGCGTGACGCTCCGCACACAACCAAAGTGTGTTTCAAAGAAATTAAAGACAGCTCCCGCAGTCGTAGTACTGGCCAAGTTTTTTACTAAAAGACTCTGTTGGGAGTGATATCGCGTGCGCTCGGTCGAGGTCATCGAATTTTCCAAGTTTCGAAGGGCCTCTAAAAAGCCCACATTGGGCTCCACTCTGTACCGACGACGCCGGATGTACTGGAGGGCCTCCGAGACGGAAAAGCCGTTTCGCTTAATCAGATAGGCCATGACGATCGCGGTGGAGCGGCTGATGCCTTTATGGCAGTGCACTAAAACACGCGGTAAAACCGCGTGTTTCTTCTCCTTCGCCTCAAAGTACTTCCGCCGCATGCTTTCGATTAAATTAAACGTCGGGCGAAAAAGAGGCGTGATATCGGCATTGCAGGTGTCCTCGATTTTGAACGGGTAGACCACGACGTTGTTGTCGACCGACCAGTATTCCTCTCTCGATATATTGAGAACACACTGGATGTTCTCCTGATCGATGAACTTCGCGTCTTGCGCATCTAGCACACTACCGAGATATAAAAAATCCAAGATTTTGCTTGGGGGCACCGATCCGTTGTTGGAGATTCGCCGACTAGGGTCATCGTTTCGGGTTTTTGTAATGTTAATATATAAACTACGAAGATCAAGCTCGGCGCCTGGGTTTGAAGGGGCCTGAAATAAGTAAGGCTTTTCCTTCTTTCTAGTACCTTTTCGGCACTTCTCCATACAAACAGTCTTTTTTCTTTCAGGATTGCTATCGCTGCTATTGTTGCCGGAACCACGTGCTAATTCGGATAAACGATTTAAATGATTAGTAGAATACTGTGGATACGCAAGGTGTTCATACGTGATGGAAAAACTTTCAGCAGGCAAAGACCGTATTGTTTTTAATGGTGCAATTGATGAAGAACCCCTGACTAGGGAACCTCTACTTGATTCCAAAGACATGCAATTTTATTCAAGGTCGCGGATATCTTAAAATACCGTGCGAGTTTAGCTTGTAGCAATTAAAGAAGAGATGTAAAGGGAAAATAATATAAGGTAATTGAAAACATTGAATTTATTCCTGTTGTCATATCTACCGTTCCATTTGTTATGCTACAGATTACTGCTCGTACCAAGTATAAATAATATAACGCAAAGATGATCACACTGAAGAAAACTGTCGTGCGAACATATATACAAAAGGGATAAATTAGAGCCGCATGACATAAAAAAAAATGGATGTGGTTCGGGTAAAAGGGCTTTCGGGGAAAATAGAATAGAATCAAAAAAAAATACATGCTACACCGAATTTTGCCTCATATTAAACTTTTTTCTCATTACAGAAGATTATCATGAAAAGTATAAAATGTGTTGAACAAGTTTCAACGCCGTGGTTCAAATCTCCAGTAATAAAAAAAAACGTGTATAAATACAAGTGTCAGTCAATGCAACATACTTATTTATCGTTAAATAGACTTATACAGCTAATTAAAATAAGGAGCTTTGGATAATTTCAGCAATAGCATAAATCAAAAGCTCGCCAACCGCCGTAATGCGGGTGCGTACGTTTACATCAATGCCCTTCATCTGGTCTTTCTGTACTTCACAAAGTAGAACCGCCACATGTTGGTCATCTGATATCGCCTTGTTCACGTGAACGGTACCGTATAAGGTCGCCATATCCTTGAAGATATCCATGGAAACCAACTTTAGAAAGTCCTGAATGAGAGGAACCGCGACCAAAAGCGTCGCCTTATTGCAAGGGATAAAGGCGGAGGCCGTCGTGGCCTCTTTTAGGGCGTCGCCGAGAACCGCCGCGTTAAACGCCGCCGCCGTCAATGTAGGGAGTTCTGGTTTAATAAAGGATGCGTATGGGAGCGGCATGTAAAAAGAAACGCCGCCGAAATGGCGGTTTCGCGCGAACCCCATCAAAAAGGGCAGAGGCGCCAAAAGAGACGAGGGAATCGGCGTTACGCGGATGGCAAAAGACACCCGCGCGACGGCGCCCGGCTTGATTTTCTTGGCAATGGGAATAAAATGGGCGGGATCCATTTTATGCGCCTCGGCGTATGCGGTCGCCTCCATTGTCATATCAAAAACCGGGGTCGAATCCCGCTTATCGGCGTGAGGTTCGAGCACCAGCGCGCCGTCCAGGTAAGCTTCGGGTGTCCCTTCCACATCCTTGCCGATCTGTAATCCGATCACCACCTCCTCCAACTCTGCGGAGGTGGACAAGTTGGTCAGCTCCAGCACCACGGAAACTTTCATTTCACCCGCATGTAGTTTACAGCGATCGGCGTAAAGCATCACCCGAAGTGAATGTTCATCATAAAGAGTCGCCGCTGGGGTGTTGAAGCGAACGTTAGGGTGAGCCGCATTTTTCTTCGCCGGGTTCTGCTGCCATGTCTTGTCGTGGGGGGGATGATCACCACCGCTAAGCAAAAGGGAATACGGGAGCACCTCCGGAAGTCGCTCGTGTTCAGATAGTTTGTGGGTTACGTCGATTTCACGGAATCTTCGGGTCACCTCATCCTCCTCTATGGGCTTCTTGTCCTTTGTTTTGGCGGTAACCACGTAATTGGATGGCTTTAGGAAGTCCCGGTTGATTGCGTGAGATTTGTGACCAGAACGCTTCAAACGCGATTTATGGAGATTGAATGAATCATCTTTAACTCTATGATTAATGGGTTTTGCCGAAGCGACGGTATTCCGCGCGTCCTCCACATTGATTGACGGGGAATCCATCGACGCGTCCTCCGCGTCGTTGAGATAAAAGACGGACATGTCCTTACGGCGGGCCTGTTCGAGATGCTGCTGATGCTCAATACTATATTGAAGATTTACTTCATTCCCATACCTCCCCTCCTTGTCAGCTCGTCCAAGCTCCCCCTCGTCATCGTCACTAGAGGATAGAGCCATCAGGGCGGAGAAATCTTCACAGAGCGGGGTGTCTAGGTCAAGGCCATCCGGTACTTCCAGTGCATTTTGCGCCCCAAAGGCAACCAGGGGCAGCTCTTTTTCGTAGAGCCGTGTCCCCACATGTGGGTTTTCGATTAGCAGATAATGCGTGAGGATGGCATATTCCTGGACGTCAGGATAGATACTAAATCGATACCGATCGAGGGGCGCCAAGGCCGCGGGCTCCACCCCCGCATCAGATGAACAGGGCTGCCGCGCTATGGATAGGAACGACGCGTCGTTGGATTTGGCGTCCAACAGCACACCGCGAAGCGCCTCAAGGGTGGGGTGTTGAGCCGCTTCAAGCGGCGTAAGTTTTTCCTCGTCATTGCGCAAGTTCACATGCCGCGCACAAGGACTAACTGTGTACGCCACAATTTTCCCAACCGCGGACACACAAGCGAGTTGAATATCAGCGGGGAAGCGCAAAATTTTATCGGAGAGCAAGTCCTCACAGACCTTGCATCGGTCCAGGATCCAGTAGGGATATTCCCCGCATGCAAAGGCCGTGGCGCCAAGAATACGCCACTGCGTCGAGTTTTCAGGATGCGAATTAAGAATGGGGCTGTTGGCGTACAGCATCTTCGATAGGGCCTCTACACCGAATTGTCGAATACAATTCACCCGTGTGAGTATCGTCACCAACTCCCGCTCGAGCAAACCGCCGTATTGAAAGACCGAGATCTCGATCACGCTCAATTCAATTAAAATGCTAAAATACCACTCAAAGTTCGTAATGAGGCCGTAGTCATCGGTTTGGGCCATCTCCACTATAGCATGGATGGCGGTGTTGGTCCACTCTTCATTCGGCGGGGTACTCACCGCGGCGTCTAAAATTGCATTGATAGTCGATACAATACTTTTCGTGGTGACCAGGTCTTTCAGAATCACCAACGCCTTCCGCCGAATAACAGTATCCGCATCCTTCAAACACGTCAGGACGATGTCCCGGTGTTCCATCAAAACCTTGGGATGATCGACGCTAAGGCGCGACATGGCGTGCAGGCCAAGGCACTTGAGGTTTTGGTCGGGATCCTCGACAAAAAGTCGCATCTTGTCCGCGGCGAGTTTGGTAAGCGAGGAGACTTTGTTCATCCCATTCGCCACCGCAAGGATGCACTCGTACTGAACCGACTTGGCGCTGGTGGTGAGAATCAGGTTCGTGAGCGGCTCCGCGAGCTTCTTGCACAGGCGCGGCTCCGATTGCGCAAAGTACCCAAAAACCTTTATAATCTTGATAAGCGTCCAATTACTGTGAATCGTGAATAGCAGTGAGTAAAAGGGAACCGCAAGGCCTAAAAAGTTGGCCGGATTTCGCCGCGCAAGCTCACACAACACACACACCACCGCTCCCCGAACCACCGACTCGGCGTCCTTGTTATCGGCGCTATCCTCAAGCTTTTCCTTCAGTTTAGGGTAGACCGGACGGAGTGATTCGGGGAATTTTACAAAAATTTTGTATAAACTTAACACCGCCTTTTTTCGAACATAAGTCGAGGGGTGCTGGAGAAGGTGAACCACATCCGAGACGAGGTCCCTAGCAAGATCGGGAGTGCAAATAGTGGTAATATAATACAGCGCGAGACCTACCACGTACTGACTACTGCTGTTGAGGTCGCGCTTTAGGAGCGCCGGGGTCAGGGAAAGAACCTCGGCGTTCTCTCGGAACGTCGTGCAGGCCGAGACGTAGCCGATCCGTTTGTTTACGAACGTGGAGTCAGCCATGATTTCAACCGTCGGGAAATTCGCGTACTCGGCGTTATGGCCCAGCATATGAAAATACATAGCCTTTTGAATAGCCATAACCTTCACACTTCGCACCGATGAGGTGACCTCCTTCTGAGTGTCATTGACGAACTGCTCAATAAGCCCCTCCTGACTTTGGCCTAAAGAGCTGCGCAGCTTTCGAACGACATCCGAAAGGGGTTTTTGAAGAAATATTTGGGTTGTATTTCGAGTAAACTCGGACATTTTCCCTATAAAGATATAAGTGATTTTTTCTGACCTTCTACTGTTTTCGTCTTATTTGTTAGCTTCAGGTTATCTAGCCACTCTTATCGGTTCATTAGGAATAATTTAATTGAATTCAAATGTTAGTAAAAGGAAACATGATAAAATGTGCATAGAAAATATAGGGCATACAAAGTTTGTAGCACGCTTAAAAAGTAGATTCATCGACCACATGAATAGGAATCATAAGAAACCTAGGTGGACAAAAATAAAACGCATCGCAAAATGGGTATGCCTTTTTATCTTGTTAGAAAAAAAAGTCATATTTTATTCATATCCAGAAAAACTGAGTGAATGACTACCCCTATAAATACTAAAGTTAATTTTCACTACTAAGATGTAGCGCGCAACGGTCTCCACACTCATAGAACAGCCCCTGTGGCTGAAGCCATAACCCGTTGTTGGGATATCGTTTTCTCCTTCAATTCATTGAGTTTGAGGCGAGCTTTTTGAACCGCCTCTGTGGTTTTCCCGATTATGAGGAAATATAGTGGTCTTTCTGTATCCTTGAGCTTCTGCGAATATTTATATTTCGGATCGTAGTACACACCCTTCTTGACTATAGATGTGTTGGTTTCCTCCATGACCGATCGCAAAAATACCGTACTCTGCAACTTGCACCGAACGACATTTGTTAAATCGTTGATGGGGTACTCCACCTGGAAGCGGATGTCATCACCATTCTCACTGGTTTCCGCCTCAGTTGTCTTTTTAGCAAACGCCAGCGCCTTCGCGATGCGATCTTCTTTCTCGCCGGAAAGCACAAGGGCATTGCCAAGGGCGCCGTTGCGAAGCGTGAGCGCCATCGACATGGGGCCGCCGGTGGTGGTGCTATTGGCATTGGAAGCCGCCGTGGC